TCCTCAGATTGATTCTCGCCTTGTTGGTTACGCAGAAGCTGGATATTTGTCTGACCCACATAAGGCACATTCTGAAATGGACTAGGTCTTTACCGTTGGAGACACCACTATATCTTGGAGGTTACCAAGTAAACTCTAGTTACGACTTCGTCGAACCATGCTGAGATTCTTGCCCTGCATGAAGCATTGTGTAAGTGCTTTTGGCTGAGAAAAGTTATGGGACATATTCGAGGAACTAGTAGTCTTACATCATTCGTTGATCTTCCTTCGACGATCTTTGAAGACAATGTAGCTTGTATCGAGCAGCTGAATAATGGATACATCAAGGGAGACAACACCAAGCACACAACACCAAAGTTCTTTTACTCACACCAGTAACAGCAGCATCAGAACATTGAAGTCAAGCAAATATGTTCCCAGGACAACCTGGTCGATCTCTTCACCAAGTCATTGCCTAAGTCTACTTTTCAGAAACTCATCCAAGTAATCGTTATGCGTAAATTATCTGAGTTGAATCGCTTGTAGTTCTTTTATTTAGAAGTTATGTCTAACTCAAAGGGAGTATCTAGAAGCATACTCACATGATCTTAATGTACTCTTTTTCCTACAATTAGGAGCATTTTTCCCACTGGGTTTTTGCTACCCAACGAGGTTTTAATGAGGCACCCATTTTGGGATGATTACACTCCGTTGAGTTCACTACCTTCGTTCTGTTTGACGTTTGTTTTAGATATTATGCATACTTCTCACTTTTCTCCTTAGTCTATGGGTTTTCCCCATGCCTTAATGCATACTTCACTTAAATTTGAGACTAGCGATCACCCATTATGCCGATGACTTCATCAACTATTCTATCTTATCTGCTGAAGATTTGATGCGATGGTTTGTTGAGTTTTTACACACTCAAGGGGGAGTGTTGCAATCATATTTAGAATAAGAATGTAATTGTGTAAATCCTAGTAGATATGGGAATGTATCTTATATTCCTATTAGGAGTAGATTACCTATTAAATGTTGTAATCCTAAAGGGAAAGGTTTTTACCTATCCTACTACTATAAATAAAGGCACAATGGGGTAAATCAAACACACCTCACAATTATATCACTCTCTCTTCTCCCTCAATATTGCCGGCCCCCTCTCTCTCTCTCTAAACCCTAGATCATTCAATCAAAAAAATTTTGCCTTATTTTTTGCCATATTAAAACTAAGCTCTTTGTTTTTTTTTTTTTTTTTTTTTTGGGTTATAATTAGCCTTATGTTTTAACATATAAAAATCATACCCTATTTTTTAGCCAGTTGGCATTAAACAAAGGCTTATACAATCTACAACAAAATCTTATTGGTCATGCCGGTCTTGGTGGAATTTTTCAAAATTCGGACAGACATGTGCTTGCTGCTTTTGCCTTGAATACAGAGTTTGCTAGTTCATTGGGTGCAGAAATTTGTGCTTTCATTGAGGTAGTTCGTGTTGCTTGGGTTCAGGATTGGAAACACATTTGGATTGAAACTAATTCCTCTTTGGTTCTACATCATCTTTTCAAGGCCCCTACTTCAATCCCTTGGTTTGTTTTGGTTGATTGGAATAATTATTTGTCAAATGAGTTTTATTTGTACACATATTTATCGAGAGGGTAACCAAGTTGCTGATACCTTAGTTTCTTTCGGTTCTGCTCGAAGTGCTTATTACTGGTGGTTCATGTTCCAGATTTTACTTATACCGCTCATGCCAGTGATATTTTTCTTGGTCGTATTTTTTGTTATCGTTGATTTTTTCTATTTTTTTTTGGTTTTATTTCCGGGTCTTGGTTTTGTCCCCCCGCTTGTATCCCTCTAATTTTTTTCTTTAAATAAAATTTCGAAGGGGTAAGGGGGTCGTTTTATCAGGAAGTTAGTCTTTTTTAATCATTCTAAGCATGAAGGAAGTAGCCTACTTTTGTAGTTGATGGCTAAATCTCGTGTCTTTGTTCTTTCTGATCGCTTTGTGCGTGTTAGAAAGTAAGGCTACTTTTGTAGTTCGAGGACCAATCCTTAAGAGTAGTTTGACTCCTTCATCATCATTAAAAAAAAAGTTAATGACTTTAAATTTTTGTTCAAATCTATGTTGTTAATCTTTTTTTTTGTCAAAGCTCGTAAACAAGTTTTGATTTATAACATACATTTCAATACTAGGTTTTTCATACAAAAACTCCACCGTTCTTTGTGACAGCGCGTCACTAGTTCTACGATTTTATAAATTTTTAAAATGTGAATTTACGAAAATACCCTAGAGGTAAGGGTATTGACTTTCGTTGACCAATGTATAGTGAGATGTAGAAATATTCTTTTAGTGTATTCTTAAAATACTCAACAATACGAGCGCATAGGCGAAAACCGTTTGCGAATCCGGATTTTAACGGTATAGTTACGAACATTCAAAGTAGTTTAATTAAATTTTAGATTAGAAATAAATTAAACTCCCATTTTGTGGGAAAGAGGTCAATCAAATTATTGTTTAAGTGACCAATCAGATAAAGGAGTGGTGGACCAATTAGAATTTGAGAAAAGAGGGCAGCAGCCAATTAGGAGAGAGATGGGCAGAAGAGAAGGAGAGAAAAGGACGAAAAAAGTGCGAGGTTGGGCCAATGGGGAAGGAGAGAAAAATGAAAGGGACGAATCAGAAGGAGGAGAGAGGAAGGTGCCCAATCGAGAGGAAGAATGAGAGGGCCAAGGAGGGAAGGAGAGAACGAGGGATTAGAGACCTCTTTCTCTTTGACCCATTTTTCCCCCATCGGACCCGCGCACACGGCGACTTTCTTGTCGCTTTTCTGTCGCTTTTCCGATGGGGAAAAACGGGTCAAAGAGAAAGGGGTCTCTAATCCCCCGTTCTCTCCTTCCCTCCTTGGCCTTCTCTTTCTTCCTCCCGATTGGGCACCTTCCTCTCTCCTTCTTCTGATTCACCCCTTTCATTTCTCTCTCTCTCTCTCCCCCCATTGGCCCAACACCCCTCTTTTTTCCTCCTTTTCTCTCCATCTCTTCCGCCCATCTCTCTCCTTTCTCTCCTTCTAATTGGCTGCTGCCCTCTTTTCTCAAATTCTAATTGGTCCACCACTCCTTTTTTTGATTGGTCACTTAAACAATAATTCGATTGGCCTCTTTCCCACAAAGTGGGAGTTTAATTAATTCCTAATCTAAAATTTAATAAAACTTCGAATGTCCGTAACTATATCATTAAAACCCGGATTCGCAAACGGTTTTTGCTTATGCGCTAGTATCGTTGAGTATTTCAAGAATACGCTAAAAGAATATTCCGCACATCTCACTATACATTGGTCAATGAAAGTCAATATCCTCGCCTCTAGGGCATTTTCATAAATTCACATTTTTTAAATTTATAAAATCATAGAACTAGGGATGGGTTGTCACATTCTTGCTTGATTACAAATTTCTAGGCCAACATGAAAAACAAGATTTCTATTTTTCTCCCATTAATTATATTACAATATTTCAAATGGCTCAAAGGACCTTTTCAGTCTAGGTTTTTGGCTCCGTCACTGCATACAACAAATTAAAAAATGTGCACAAGTTAATATGACATTTTATTTTTGCTCAAAATTTAATTGTAATAAAAATGAAAATTCAATAGTGATAAAATAAAATAAAAAGAAAATTGAATTTAATACAATAGAAAGAAGTGACAAGGTTACTTCTTTGTGATCGAATGGTCATGGATTCGAGTCATGAAAACAATATCTTTGCATAATAAAGGTAAAGTTGCGCACAATAGATGTTTCTCCCCCCAACTCTTGCAAAACGCAAAGCTTATTGGCATGGAGTCACCCGTTTAGAAGGAAACAAAAAACTCAATTTGTGCCTATGAACCTATGATGCATTTGACAGTGAAAGGACACTATTAAATAAAAGGAAAAGGTTTTAGCAATGCTGAACTCACAATTTGATTTTGAGTTTTTTTTTAATATTTTAAAATGTGTTCATTTCTTTTTTTATAACCGTCGCCGTTGCTCAAATTGTCACAATTTTTTCATTTAATTCTGATCACATGCAATGTATATAATTTTTTTAAAACATACGATATTATCTACATTAAAACTCACAATGAAATAGTCATAATAATTTGGTTTGAATTTGTCTTTAACGATAATCAAACCTAGAACTTATTGAACAAGAATACTACTAAATTGTAATATTTAGTGGTCCCAAATTGCCCTTATCTCCAATGCTCTTTTTTTTTAGTACATTGATATTTTTACACTAAAAAGAAAGAAAATTCAGCTCAACCACACAATGAGCAGCTTAATTTATATTAGAACCTTAATTTCATAACTCAGGCCAAGTATTTATATTTACATGAAAAAAATTTATACTGTTCAACAGACTATGCCAAATCTGAAGAATATAAAAATATGTTAGAATATGTTTTAAATTCGAATTTTTTACTCTCACGACAAAAGAAAACTATTTTCTATAAAAAGATAATAGAGAATTCTTATTATTATTGGAGGCATTTTGCTTATTTACATCCACATATAATGGCTTTATTTTGAACCAATAGTTTTTTTGTGTCTTAAAACTATAAAAAGATTAATTTTAGCCTACATAATAATAGAAACTACAATTAAAACGTTACATAATTTTAGACAATCAAATCTTTTTTTCACTGTTAGAATTTACTCATATTTAATCGCTACCACTCGATTTAATGTAATTATAAATAAATATATTGAATTTGAACTTTTGGATCAACCGAAGGTCCAATCATGTTAGCGTTTGATCTAAAACAGAACGTTGGGCTCAAAACAAGTGGCTATCAAAGCTGTAGCTGATGGGTCCCATCGCTGATAGCTTTGTCGCGCGAAGTGAGTGAGGCGCGTTAGCTCCTTGCGTGGGCCTAATTTCTTATCCCTGACTTGAATCGTGAGGAAAATCTGGCCTACAATGTTATTTTCTTTCCATGGCTTATTTAAAGCCCAACTGTTGAAGATGGTTTAAGGAGATTCAGAGCTTTATCCCAGCCATTGAAAATGATGTTAAAGCTTCTTCAAAGTTACCACAAAACCCTATAAGAAACCATAAACAAAAATCCCAAACAAATATATATAACATAAAAAGGACAAGGTCATTTGACTTGATCTTGGACGGCCATCGGCAGCTTATCCAGCATCCCAACTCAAGTCTCAAACTGTAAGAAGAACTACCTTCTCTTTTTTTCTTTATTTTTAATTGTTCTTTCTAGTTCTCTGTAATCTAATCTGAGTTAACTGGTGCTTAATCAACCGCATTAGGGGCAGCATACCCATTTGTGTTTCGTGCACCAGATTCTGATCTGCTAAACAAGTTGTGAACGTTTTGAGAGAAATTTGAAAACCCAGTTTCCCAATTTTACATGAATGTTTTTGTTTGTGTGAGTTTCAGTTTTGATAATTACAGTAGCGAAACCCGGAAGCAACTTTTCATATGTTGTGATCTTCCAGAAGTATTTCGAATTGCTGACCGAAATTAGTTTTTAAAAGCTTTTCAGTCATTGATGATTCATTTCCAAGTGATGAAATGTTTATTGAAAAAAGGAGGAAAAACTGCCATTGTTAAAGTTACTTTAGATGTTGGGTCAATGAATTTGGGCAACAAGATTTGGTTGGGACAATACTTGCTCAGGTTTTTTTTTTTTTTTTGGCCTTTTGTCAAACGATAAATTTGTTAGATTAGACGTTATATTAAGAAGCCAATGGGATTTGAATCCACTCCGTGGTGCAAGGGCGACAGTCCTCTCCACCACTGTGGTAGAGGACCACTTGCACTTGTTCAGGTTTTTCAGAACTAAATTGGGAATTGTTGTTTGCAGGTTGTACATGATAATGGCGGCTGCAGTTGCATCACCTACCTATCCAGGAAATGTTAAGCTTCCATCTTCCGAGCGTGTCAAGTCTGGAGTTATAGTTTTGGATCTTTATGCACTGCTTCACAAACCTTCTCATGCTTTTGGCCAAAAACTCAGTTCTCGCTGCTGTTTACTCGGCAGACCTCAACCTCTACTGGTCAACAATTTCAAGTATGTCACTGTGCGAATTGGTAGTAATAGTATCCGAGTTTCGGTTTGATATGTTTATAGAAGGACAAGCGACAAGTTATTGAAACATGGTGCCATTTTAGAAATTAATTTTAAACCCGGGCTTTAGTTGCTTCATTTTGGCATTTGAACTGAGAGTCTTAATTTTGTTAAAGCTAGCTGCATAAAGTAATGGCACTGCTTCCCTCAGTATTGACTGCACTGAAACATGTGTAGGAAAATCAACAAACCAGTTTACGGATCTTACTGATTCTTCCCTCTGCCTCTTTTGGGGTTCAATTTTGAATTGTACAGGAGGATGACATGGTCTATCAGAAGTAGTGTGGATAGCAGTGGGTCGGATCCATCTCCAACAAATGGCTCTACTGGCACGACACGATTAATTAGGGCAATCCAAGCTATTCAAACCAAGTTAGGTGTAAAAATTCAACAGCTACGGAGAGGTTTTCCAATGAAATTACTCTTCTTCTTAGTGGGTTTCTACTGTGCTACTGCTTATGCTACTGTTATTGGGCAAACAGGCGACTGGGACATTCTATCTGCCGCTTTTGCTGTGATTATTGTGGAGGGGATTGGGGCACTCATGTATAAGGCGTCTATTCCTTTTGTAAAGAAGACTAGGAACCTGATAACCATGTTTAACTATTGGAAAGCTGGGCTTTCCATGGGTCTCTTCTTGGATTCATTCAAATATGAGTTCAATGACATCTTTGGATTCAGTAACCCCTTCAATTTTGAACTACACGCTTTCTCAATATTCTGGTAACACAAGGCTTGTTTGAGTGCTGCTTACTGACGTGTTTCTCATCCGAAGTTGGAGAAAATGTGACTGGTAAACATAGGTCAGGAACTGCAGTGGTGGAGCAACATTGTTAGCTTTTCAGAACAAAGAGAAGGTACAAAGAGTAATGGGTTTGCCAGAAAAATAAGGAGCCTTTTCGCTAATGATTTATTGGGTATGTTGTGGATGTGTTCGCTTATTTTCTCCTGTGTGCTTTTTGTATTGTTTTGTTATGTTCTTGAGCTTATTGATTTCACACATATTTTGAAGTTGAAATAATATTCGTTTTATTCTTCGGTTTATCAGAGAACTGCTGCACCAGGAAAGAAGACAGAGGAGGCTAGTGCAACCATGAAGGTTAAGTCCACTGGAAGATACTACTGAAAGAAAGAGAAATTATCAGTCTATACCATGTTAGACCAGAAACCGAGTAAACCAAAGAAAGGATCTTCCTCGAGTACGAAGGGAAAAGGTGCTCCAAAACTTTCATCCTACACTCACGGTATTGATCGCCCTCCCTCTGATTAAGAAGTTGAGTATGTGCTAACAGAGGCCAAATTGTAAGCCACTTTAATGCATCCATAACGGGCAAAAGAGTTAAGAAAGTGTGATAAGGACCTTGCTGCCCAGGACAGGAGTCCTTAAGCGTGATAAGGACCCTCTGTGTCAGCTCAAGAAAAGAAACTTCTAAAGAATGCACCAGTACCAGAAACAATGGCAGCTCATGGGGTCAGGTGCTGCTGAAACTCAAGCTTCAAAGATTTTTGCTGGGTTGAGCTTCCCAAATGATATCTATGGCCGTCCTACTAAGTCATTCAATGGTGGCTGGAGGATGAGAATTTCATCAGCTAAGGTACTTGTTGAGCAACTAACTCTTTCGTTGCTTGATAAGGCCCCAGACAATCTCGACTTCAGGCCTGTTCTCCGATTGGAGGAATACTTATGCCGTTGGAAAAGAAAAAAACTGGTTGTCACATGTTCGGGATCACCTTGACACCGCTTGCACTCAGAATTCGCGTCTTCGTGATATTCATTCGACTTCTACTGGGGAAAGATTGATGAGTTTTATGAGCAACATCACGAAGAGGAGTAAAAAAATTGGAGGAACTTAGCAAGCTGGAGTATCCCGTTCAAAGCTCGCCTTGATAATAATTTACTGAATTTTTTTTTTGGTAAGAAAAGTAAGTTCACATGGAGCTTGGGCAAGAGGAAATTAATGGTTTCTCGTAATACCATCTCTCGCTCTCGGTGTAGTGACATTTCGTTTTCCAATATCAGAAGAGGTCCTGGGTCTGGACTTTGGAAGCTGAAATTTGAAAACATTGGGCTACTAATTCCAAAAGTTGCATAGGAAGCAGGCAACACCAGGTAACGGGCATATAATATCGACTAATCTGCAAGAGAAACGGATATTGCAAATGCAAACTGGTATATTTGTATAAGCAACATTACACAACTCATCCAACTTTCATAAAATGGCAACTGTTAAAGGAGTGAAACAAATACATGTAAATTATACCTTTCTGCTTGTTATTGTGTCGCTATAGCCATAGAACGTGATTTGTCAAAGATTTACAATGCTCGGTGGTTATTAACTAATACAAGGTCCCTAAGTATGTGTTTACCAAACAAAAACCTAATTGGCAGGCGCTTCTCGTATATCCTGCAATCACGCATCAACGTCAGGGCCTGGATAGGCCGGTAGGCTCATAATCCGCCTATCGATGACCGGACCTCCCACCGTGAAATGGTATAAACTCTGGAAGTTTGATCCTTTCAACCCAAGCAACTCATGCACTGCAACATAACAAGAGCATAATTTTTAATTAGTGCAACAGATATCAAGCATAGTGCATGTTGCAATTATCTACTCTAATACATATTCAAAATTGGTTCAGCACCCCTTACAACTTACAACGCGAAGCCAAAGTTTAAAATTTGTATGACACTTCAAACAATGTATTTAGATACATGATTATCAGAAATACTTGACAATTTCATATGTAGTTAACAGCTTAGAGCCTTCAAAGTGTAACCAAATTTGCTTGACCCTAATGGCCTGCCAACATCAATTCTTAATATACATCAAACCTGAGTATTGCGGTGAGCAGCAACAGCATGATTGATCTACGGTGATAATTCATTGTCGAATCTTTATTCATGGACATTATCATAATCTCATAGACTGGGTGAACTGATTAAATTTTTATCGCTCTCTCGTCCAATCTAATATGCTCACTAGTACAATATGCCTTATTTCAGAAAGACAAAAGGCACAAAACTTGATGTTCAAACGCAGAGGCTCAGCTTTGCCATACATAAATATAGATGTGGTCATATATTTTACATTATGACACAGATAACTGAAGCCAGTCAGTCATGCTTCAATATATTAGGGCCCCGTTCAGCTACTGACTCTGGTTTAACTCGTGGTGATACATAGTAATAATCACGACCTTAACCATTGACATCGATTCAACATTCTTAAAGACTTGTTTTTAATCACAAAACTTAAAGCAACTAGTTTTGACGAGTGCACTTTAAGGTTTAAGCAGTTTGATATTCAATTAACTAGGTCCAGATATTTCATATAACATGTAATGTACTATTGCTATAGGATAGGGGAATCATTGAGAGAGAAAAAAAAATTAGAGACGAGATCGTACCAGGATCATCAAAATAGCAACCAATTCCTGTCGCAGAAATACCAACGGCATGTGCTTCAAGATACAGCACCTGCCCAAGTACTCCAGTCTCCCAAAACAATCGAGGATACATCCACACTTTTTTATCTTGCAACATAGGGTTAAAACAAGCTACCATACCAAGACTGAAGCATCCATGACTGGCAATTTCCTGCATAAAAGCATTATTTTAGGAGTTGGACACACATGCGCGCACACACAGGTGCCTCAATCGTAATTTGATTTCAGTAGGAAACGAAATCATTCTTCAAGTATAGGATCAAATTGGGGATTTTGCAAATTTGTAGCCAGGGCAACAACTCAGATTTTGCAAATTCGGCTTGAGATTGTAGTAAACAATGATTCATCAGATACTTCAAGAATTCCCAATAAAACAACTTTCGATAGTCACTCTAGAATCATATTCCAGCATTATTCAATATCTATCTTACCACAGAATTTATACACCATCAAGTTAAAACCCCAAGAAAATACCATTTACATTTGACATACCTGATGGCATGAGAGCTTTTCAGCAAGGGCACGGCAATCAGTTCTATAAAGTTCGTACAAAGGAAGATTATCCGGGCAACCCTCTGGTTTTACCCACTTGAATCCGGAATTCATTGATTTCTGGAGCTCATCAAAATGGTCTTCATTCCTCACCAAGAAATATAAACCCTGTGGCAACCCTTCCACCCTATGAACAAACAAAGCAGCATGAACCTCCGCATCCCAAGGAAGAGCCCGAAATGGCAATCCCAAAGACCTCTTCTGCTTCCCTCCATTTCGAGAACCCGAAGGAAGACAATGTAAAAGAATCTGATAAAATGTGCTTCTATCCATCACAGTAACTCCATCCATATCAACCGCACTCCTACGCTTCCTAATCACTTCCCTAACTGTAAAACCCTTATATGAACTTTCACTACAAATCCCACTACTCTGAAATGGATCAACTAAAAACTTATCACCAATACTTAACTCTTTCTTCACGGCCTCTGCCGTTCTATAGATTACATCCCAACAAATGTGCTCTTTACTAAGCAAATTCGGCTTTCCCTTCCACTCCAATTTTGAAAATTCCGATATCACCAAACTCAACTTCTTATAATTCACATCAAATTCACCAACCCCGTTAGGAAAAACCACCAGAATACAATCCGGATGCTCGAATTCCATCTCGGGAAACCGCCCTTTAACAGGCCGAGAGGGAATTTGAAACCTTGGCAACATTTCAAGCCCCATTAGCTTCTCCAAATCCTCATAACCCAGCCCATCAAGAAGCTTCACGTCCCAGCCAAGCTCCGCTGCCGCCATCGAAACCGCAGCAATAGCATGACCCACATCGTGATTACAGTACCTAAAAGCGCGTTCGCCGTACTTCCAGGCCTCCCGCCAGAAAATCGACGACAACCCAATGAGGAACGAGTCCTTGGGGAAGAAACCGGAGAAAACCCACGACGGGATTTCAGCTCTGAGCTCCAAAGCATGCTCCTTCGGAGCGTAATGCGCTACGAAACTTGAATCGGAGAGCGATTCTATTGGGGGAGAAATGATATAAGCCTCGGTGGGGTGTAAATTGCCGCTGCTGGGATTGACTCTGAGCGACCAGGTCGAAAACCCAGCAGTTTTCCAAGCTGAGAGAGCCAAAGAATCGTAGAAAAACTGAGAAATGGTGGATTTGGAGATGGGTTTTGGAGGAGGGAGAGAGTGGAACAGAGAGGAATACAGAGGAGTGTCTGGGGTTGGATTGTCTGTGGGGCAGTGCAGGAGAGGAAGGAGAGGGGCGGGGGCGTACCGACGGAATGGGTTGGGCTGGTTGGCCCAGTCGAGGCCGTGGGGGCCTCTGGCGTATTTGGTGAAGTGGTGCTTGGTCTGGTTGTGGTACTTGAGGACCTGCTGCAAATGGAGATCTTGGTCTTGCGGGTCTTGGGGTTGTTTGCGGTTGGAGACTGAAGAGGAAGAGAAGGACATGGCGGAGATTAAGGTTTTGCTGGCGGTGGTGGTGGTGAGTTTGGGGACGAGAGAGGGCGGTGGAAGGAGGTGGAAGAGTGGAGAGTTTATAGGGAAAGTGAACCTTGCGGAAGGGAGTGGTGGCATATTTTGTTCTTTCTTTCTGTTTTATGAAAGGAAAAAATGGTTCCAACGTTTTGTTCTATCTTCTAGACCCTCCCATTACTTTGAAAATTCGATGGACACGATCGATTTGATGGTTCCAACTTTTTCTAAGAAAAAGGAATCGGATCCCTTACACCTAATCCTCCTCATCAAATAATTTGGATCCTTAAAATTTGATCTAATAGTTACAAATAGGGTCCACTCTAAAGTTATAATAACTTTAATTGTTGAATTAAATTTTAAAAATCTGAATTATTTGATGAAGAGAATTAGGTGGAAAGAATCCGAAGATGATCCTTTTCCTTTTCTAAGTACTTGTATGTATAACTCATGTGCCGATTTGGTGTTGGGGCTGTTTGATCTGGGCCCAAAAATGATCTTCTTTGTTTCAAGTCCAATTCATAACTAGTTTTCAAGCTCACACTTTTTATCCCTTATTTATTTGGTATTGTTCATGAAAATTCAGAAAGTATCATTGTGCTCTCTAAAACTTTCTAGGCCTAGTGTGGTTGCAGTGTGGATTGTGTAACTGTCTCCACATATAACTGGTGGTGTTGGGTGTGAGATTTTTGAACTACCAAAGTAGAACGTGGGTGAATGAGAAGGATGATCATGGGGAAGCACAATCTCATTAGGTCGCATTGCGTTCTGGCCGTAATCATTTTTTTTTTTTCAATTCTTCCTTCTCTGAATGTGGTGTTTTTAGTTATTTGTGATGTTTTTTTAATTAAATTTTTATTATTAATAGAGAAATTCATCCTGAATTATAGGTCTGGCAAGTGTAACATGCAAACAGTTGTAACAAATTGTATTCATCATTTTTGTTTTCTTTATCTTCTATTTTATCATATTATCATTTTTATTTATTTATTTGGACAATCCTATCACTTATCAAATTTCTATATACTTTATTGCATGAGTTAAATTTTTTTGTTTCAAGGGCTTTTGAGTCCTTTTATTTTATTTATTTATTTTTTTTTTGTGAAGTCTTGAGACACCAAAACTTACTTTTGGCATTCTATTATTAGAGAGTTGGGTACCTAGAGAAGATGGCAAGGAAGGCATCGGCAACATAGGTGGAGGAGAGAGAAGATGCAGAGGATTGCAAGCTTGGAGGAGGGACAAAAGATGTAGCGTAGAAAGATTTGTCTGGAATAGTGTGGTTGCAGTGTGGATTGCGTAACTGTCTCCACATATAAATGGTGGTGTTGGGGGTGAGATTTCTGAACTGCCAAAGTAGAACGCGGGTGAATGAGAAGGACGATCATGGGGAAGCACAATCTCGTTAGGTCGCATGGTGTTTTGACCGTAATCATTTTTTTTTCTCAATTCTTCCTTCTCTGAATGTGGTGTTTTTAGTTATATGTGATGTTTTTTTTATTGATTTTTTTTTATTATTAATAGAGAGATTCATCTTGAATTATAGGTTTGGCAAGTGTAACATGCAATTAGTTTTAACAAATTGTATTCATCATTTTTGTTTTCTTCTTTATCTTATATTTTATCATATTATCATTTTTTTATGTGGACAATCCTATCCTTTATCAAATTTATGTATAATTTATTGCATGAGTTAATTTTTTTTGTTTCAAGGGCTTTTGTGTCCTTTTCTTTTTTTTTTTTTTTTTTTGTGAAGCCTTGAGACACCAAAACTCACTTTTGGCATTCTATTATTAGAGAGTTGGGTACCTGGAGAAGATGGCAATGAAGGCAGCGACGG